TATATATATATGTATGTATATGTGTATATATATATATATGTGTGTATATGTGTATATATATATGTATATGTGTGTATGTATGTATATGTGTGTATGTATGTATATGTATGTATGTATATATATGTATGTATATGTATGTATGTATATGTGTATGTATATGTGTATATGTATGTATATATATATATATATATATATATATTACAGTGGTATCTGTAGATTTGACTGACAGCAGCTTGGCTCCTGGTGGGCGGGGCTACCAGAGACTCGTCACAGGTCTGAGGTCACGACTTCAACTGAAGACCGACTTCTTGCTGTCACACCATCCAGGTGAGACACACCTGTGTTACCCATGATGCAACACATTTGTGACCAGTGTTCACCTCCGATAGATCCCACAAACATGAAATGAGAAGTTATTACCCATGATGCTTTCTGTTCCATAGGGGGCGGGGCCTCTCTGCAGGCCCTCCTGTCTCGCTGTGATTGGTCAGAGCACAGACCTGAGGTCAGAAGCCACGCCCTCACAGACCTGTTCTGTCCCCTGCTGACCTCTGACCTGCAGTCATGTGATCCTCACCACCTCCTGGAGTGGCTCGGTGCAGTGGACGCTGACGTCAGCTGGTGAGACGGTGGTCGTTGTTATATTAACCTGTGAGCGTCATGTGACCCGCTGACTCTTCTTCTTCTGTGGTTTCAGTGAGAACTCGTCTAGCAGCTTCCTGTCCTCGCTGGTCTGTCCCGAGCCGAAGACGACAATGAGTCGAGCTCTGAGCGTCTCCGTCTGTGGACTGCTGAGTCTTCAAGACGTCCACCGACTCATCCAGCAGATCAGGTCAGTACTACTAGTACTACTTATAGCAGTGACAGTACTACCAATAGCAGTGACAGTACTACTAATAGCAGTGACAGTACTAATAGTACTACTTATAGCAGTGATAGTAGCACTGATCAGAGGAACTTAGGTTCAATTTATGGATGTTAATCCTCAAACATGTTTCTAGTATTTCTAGTACTTCTATAGTGATAGTAGTACTAGTACTACTAATAGCAGTGATAGTACTACTAATAGCAGTGATAGTACTACTTATAGCAGTGATAGTACTACTTATAGCAGTGATAGTAGTACTGATATTCTACTCTCTCCACACTGTGAGAGTAATGGTGTCCTCACCTATCCTGCAGGTGTTACCTGGATCAGCCTCGGTTGGAGTCCTGGGCATCTCTGACGGTTCATGGTTTCGTTGATAGTCCAGTATCTTGGGGGGGCGACGAACACGGATTCCTGAGAGGAGGAGAGAACTTCTACAGTCTGCTGATGTTCCACGACCACACCTACCACCTACACCTGGGGACAGGCGCCCACGACACCTGTCCACCGTGACTACACCTGTCCACCGTGGCGACACCTGTCCACCGTGGCGACACCTGTCCACCGTGGCGACACCTGTCCACTGTGGCGACACCTGTCCACCGTGACTACACCTGTCCACCGTGGCGACACCTGTCCTCTGTGACTACACCTGTCCACCGTGGCGACACCTGTCCTCTGTGACTACACCTGTCCACCGTGGCGACACCTGTCCACCGTGGCGACACCTGTCCTCTGTGACTACACCTGTCTTCCGTGATCAGGTTTTGTTGTAGAAACAAGTTTCACATCCGTTTTGGATTCAAATCAAACAAAAATAATAATACAAATACATTTGTAGTAAATATTTCTGAATGTGAGAGTTGAGTTCAACCAAAGAGTGAAATGTTTTTCTGGTCCCTGTTAATATTCTGGAGACCCTTTTTGGGCCCTGGGCCTCAGGATGAGAACCACTGCAGACTGTATTTTTGTTCCTGATCTGAAAACAATATTTAATTTGTTTTGTAAATAACAAACTTGTATTCCTCGATTGTCTTTTATGAACCTGTGTTTCTCTAATTTCTGCTAAAATAAGTTTTTTTTCATCAGCGGATTTCTAAATGGTTAATTATTCACATATCTCATAACGATGACATCATGACCGTCTCTGCTTCAACAGTGACATCACTGATGCATCAGTGATTTCACTTTACAGACAAAAACATTTAATTCATTTGAAATGAAAGAACACAGATTTACTGAGTGTTTAATTTTACACATGAGATAACTGGATGATTAATAACCTCCTCAGATCAGGTCCTGGACTCTGGTCCGGATCACAGTTCAGTCAGTTCACATGAATCACAAGCCACACCCAGCATCACAGTCTCCTCTCAGGTGTCCATATTTACCCACAATTCATCAGTTTTGATCAAACTCCTTTGATGAGACTGAACTCAGCGCCCCCTACAGGCGTCTGGATGTCTGAACAGTTTGTCCTGAAGGGGGCGCTAGAGGAGGAACCAAGCCCACCAGAGGAAACATCAGCATCCACTTTCAGTTTATGTTCCTGTCAAAGATCACGTCCATTTGATAAGTTCTCTGGTTTCAGTTTCATGTCTGTATCCAGTACAGACGAAGGTCCTGGACCATTAGCCTAGCTTAGCACAAAGACTGGAAGCAGGGGGGAACTGCTAGCCTAGCTTAGCACAGGTAATTTTATTCATGGTCAGCCCCATGTGTCCAGATGGTACCACCCAGTAAAAAGCATTTAAAGCTGAACAGCAGTGGACCCAGGATGGAACCCTGAGGATCCATGTGGAACCTCACAGGTGAGTCAACATCTGACTGGAGGAGAACCAGAGGATACAGAATTCTGCTGAAATTCTAACTTAAATGTTTATAACAAAAGGAGGAAACGTTCAGTGTTTCCTGTCCAGCTCAGAATCTGCTGAGTGAGAGGAACTGTTCCCGGTTCAGGTCCCGGTCCCGGTCCTAGCAGAGCTCGGTGCTCCTCTGCAGGTACTGCAGGATGGAGTCTGTTCCCTCTGATGAGCCCCAGACCCTCTTCAGGGCTTCACACTCTCTCTCGTTAGCTTGTTCCAGAGCACCGCGGCTGGTGTTCCTCATCAGAGCTTTAGACTCCTTTAGAACCTGCAAGACAGGAAGTGCAACCAGTGGAACCACCATCACCACATGATGGGTTCTATCATCTACTCTAATCACATACAGGTACTGGTCATATAATTAGAATATCATCAAAAAGTTGATTTATTTCACTAATTCCATTCAAAAAGTGAAACTTGTCTATTATATTCATTCATTCATTACACACAGACTGATATATTTCAAATGTTTATTTCTTTTAATTTTGATGATTATAACTGACGACTAAGGAAAATCCCAAATTCAGTATCTCAGAAAATTAGAACATTGTGAAAAGGTTCAATATTGAAGACACCCGGTGCCACACTCTAATCAGCTAATTAACTCTAAACACCTGCAAAGGCCTTTAAATGGTCTCTCAGTCTAGTTCTGTAGGCTACACAATCATGGGAAAGACTGCTGACTTGACAGTTGTCCAAAAGACGACCATTGACACCTTGCACAAGGAGGGCAAGACACAAAAGGTCATTGCAAGAG